CTTGACTTCAATTATAAATTGGTCAATGTGATTCATCAATGATTAATTTAGGCCGGGTATGGTGGTGCACGCCTGTAATCCCAGCACTCAGGAGACTGAGGCAGGAGGATCTTTGTGAGTTCAAGACCAGCCTGGGCTACAAAATGAGCAAGGCCAGCCTGAACTGCATAGCGAGAGCCCATTTCAAAGACATACACACACACACACACACACACACACACACAAACGGTTAATTTGACTAGCAAATGAACAAACTTCCTATGAGCCCATAAGTGTAGCCATGCTACATATGAACAATTACAGGTATGTGTGTGTGTGTAATGTGTATCCGTGTGTGAAAGAAAGGTAGGCAGGGGAAGATAAGTGAGGATAGAGGTACACAATTTTTTTCCTACCAAAGACATCCTTTTATTATTTTTCCATGGCCCAAAGGATTTTATCTTTAAAATAAAACATATTAAATAATAACTAATTCATTTCTCCATTTTTATGTATCAAACACAAATAATTTAATATGCAATTTAATTATGTTCTGGAAATTTTTCTTTACCTCCAATGAGGGCTTCCAACCAGTGTGAGATAACCAGCACAAATAAACTGAGATGATCAAATTCCAGTGGAAGAAAATGTTTACCGCTCTGTATAACCTTATTACAACTGTGAAGAACTCTTGCCCTGTGAGTGCAAGGTTCACTGGCCAAGGTGGCACAGCTCATGTGAAATGTCCAGTGGAAAAAGAGGTTATCCAAAGGAACAATCAGACCTCCTCATGTAGGGGTTCTGCTGTGGCTCATAGGAGGAAGTTTGGAAACCAGGGTGGTACCTGCCCCTCCCAGGGTGTATTTCCCAGCAAAACTTTCCTCCCACCTTTGAACATCTGTCACAAGGAGGCTTAGGCATGAGAGGTATGGATCTCACCAGCTCAGCAACTCTCCATCACTAAAGATCTCAGGATCTTTACACTCCAGCTGGGCCTGGGGGTGCACACCTGTAATCCCTGCACTCGGGAGGCTGAAGCAGGAGGATCACTGTGAGTTCGAGGCCAGCCTGGGCTACAGAGTTCCAGACCAGCCTAAACTGCATAGTGAGACCCAGTCTCAAAAAAACAAAGAAAAAAAAAAAAGATCCTTTACACTCTTAATGACTTTTGAAGATATTCCAAAGCTTGTGTTTATACATATTACTATAACCAACACTTATCATGAAAAAACTAAAGCTGAAAAATATTTCAACATTTCTGTTATGGTTTGGGTCTACATGTCCCTCCAAAGCCTCATGAGGCACAGCTGGGGTTTTTTCAGAGGTGGCTGAATCTAGTGTGTGACGCTGGGATTAAGGATGTGTGATTACTAAATCAGCCCACTGACTGCCTTGGTATTGCCCTAATCCTGGTACCCTGGATACAATATAAAGGACAGAAAAAGCTTTGTCTTCTCCCTTGCTTGCTTGCTTTTGCTGTCTTCTGCTTGCCATGAACCATTGCTCTTCGGTGATCCCCTTCTGCCAAGCCACCTGGCCATCCAGCCAGCCAATTATGGACTGAAACCTCTACCAGCTGTGAGCTAAATAAACCTTTCCTCCCTTAACTTGTGGGTGTTGGGGATTTTCCCTCAGCAATAAGAAAAGTAACTAAGACAATTCCTAACATTTAAATAATGAACCTATTCCGTGTTAACATAAACAATATTTTTCACTTGATCTTAGCCAAAAGGCTGAGAAGCAATAACATGAATAATATTTTTAATGAAAGTAAGCCAAACCAAAAATATTGAGGGAGGTAAGTATCATTATTTTACATTTTTGCAAATAAATCTGCTATCTGGTGTATTGTAAGGCCGGATTCTCATCTCTGGCTCTAAGTTTGATCTGAGGTAATAGCTATGATGCCTGTAGTATGGTAGCTCTGCTGAGCTCCACTGTATGTGCATGACAGCATAAAAAGCATCTCAGTACTACTATTGGAAGAGTCTGGACCCTGGAGAGTCTCCGAGGCAGCCAGGGTGCCTGCGCACTTTGGGAAAGGCCATCCTGGAGCATCATTTTCTAGGACTCCCAAGTCAACTCTGCATCTTACCTTCCTCCTTCCCACTGTAAAGCAGGCTTCCACTTCCTCCCCCATCTGACTGCTTGTTTAAGGGTCTGCTGGCCTCAGGGCATCTCCACCTCTGATCCCCTTATGTGTGGCCAACACTGCATTTACAAACTGGGCTAATCTTTTCCCCACCACCTATCCCTGTCCGCCTTCTTCCATCCCACCTGTGCCCTGGTCCTGTTGGTGCATCTCAGATCACCTCTCAGATCCCCCCCAGCCCTCATTCCCACACATGGGGTGAACCAGCAGCTATGGCATGGTTTCCACTTCCAAACTCCCCTTGTCTGCTTGTCTGTTTGTCTAGACCATTGTGCAAACCAGTCACACTTGCCCTACTAAAAACAGGCATGCCTGGTGACCAGCTGTAGATGGCGTGACCCACCTATCACAGACCTCCTCCCCATGTCCCATGACCTTCCACATCATCTGCCCCAGTCTTCATGCTCCCGGCATCCCTGCCTGTTGCCACCATGTGGGGCAGCGGAGGCCCTCCTCCCCGCTGACTGCGCCACGAGATGTTGATGCTAACAGAATAACCCAGACAGAGGCCGAAGGGGGTACACCACGCTCTAATATCACCATGCGGAGGACAAGCCCACGCTGGCCGGTAGAAGCAGCACTGTCCAGCAGCACTCTCCGCAACCACAGAAATGCTCCAATGCAGCACTGCCCCACGGAGTAACCACTGAGCACCAGAGGCTGCCAGGCACTGGAAATGGCTAGTGTGACAGGAGGGTTGAAACTATCATATTATCGACTAGTCACTCATTTAGATAGCAACTTATGGCCAGGGCCTGTGTGTTAGAGCGCCTGTGAGAGAGGAGAACTGATTACCCTCTCTGACAAGGCCACCCTGGATCAGCCCTCCACTACCGACTGATTCCAGGGGGTTAATTTAAATAAGAAGAAATTTCATTTGTAAAAAACTGCTAACTGAAAAAAAATAGTAACTGCTAACTGATTATTTAGCATTTCCTTCCATATGAATGTAGGCTAGCTTAGCTTGAGTTCAAGGCCCAGCACTACTTAAAGAAGGAAAAAAAGTCAGCCTGTATACTACTCCGTATAACGTGCTTTCTGTATTTCAACGTATTTGGTAATCTTGCGGATGTCATTCTATGCATTTGAAAAGGCTATACTTAGCCAGGCCAAGCTGGCACAAGCCCATAATCCCTGCACTCTGGGAGGCTGACGCAGGAGGATCACAAATTCCAGCTCAGCCTGGGTAATTTAGAGAGTCTCAAAAAATTTTGAGGGCCGGGCATCATGGTGCACGCCTATAATCCCAGCACTCGGGTGGCTAAGGCAGGAGAATCTGCGAGTTCTGAGTCTGGGCTACAGAATGAGCTCAAGGCCAGCCCGAACTGCATAGCGAGACCCTGTCTCAAAAAGACCAAAAGGCCCGGGGATTTAGCTCAGCGGCACAGCGCCTGCCTGACATGCGCAAGGTCGTGAGTCCGATTCCCGGTAGAGGAAAAAAAAAACTTCAAAAAGACCAAAGAAAAAAAATTTTTTTGAAAAGTGGGGATGGAAAAATAGTTCAGTATGATGGCTCGGGATTCAACACCCAGTACAAAAAAAAAAAAAAAAAAAGTAAAGTAAAATTAAGCATCCATGAAGGGCGCAGAACTGTGCGTTCCCACGCAGACTCATTCCTTCAGGCAAAGCCAACAAGCATCACGTGGTGTCGTCCGTGGCTCAGCCACCTCACCCGCAGGACGCGCCCCGGCCGACGTCTGTGCCGCCCCCGCCCCCCTGGAATGCACACAGCTTCACATGCAAGCCACATGGCGGGCGGCTGGGGAGGGCAGTGGCACAAGAGGGCTTGACCAAGTTGACGGTGAGAGGCCCCAGCCCGGGCCTGCTCTGCAGAAGGTCCAGAGAACTAAGGGTCACCTGCGCGAGCTCCTCCTTTGAGGCCCCCTCAGGGTGACAAAAACCAGCCACAGTAAATTGGATCACTCGGGCGCCCTGCTTTCCCAAGCCTGACCTCTGGACTCCGAACCGGGCCCAAGTAAAGAGGGCTGAAGCATTGATTGCCAACACACATCCGGGCAGTCACTTCAATTCCCGGGTCGGGGAGCGGGTTTGGGCGCCTTTTACTCCCGGACCACGGAGTCCAGGCCCGCGCGCGCCGGGACCCAACTCCGGCCACTGCCCTGCAGGGCTCCCCGCACGCATGTCCTGCTCTCGGCTTTGGGCACTGGGGCGCACTGGCCCAGACTGTGATTTACAGCTGTTCAGGAGGTTGAGGCAGGTAGACTGCAAATTCAGAGCTAGCCTGGGCAATTTACCAGGTCTCGGTCTCAACATAAAAAATAGAGTTGGCTGGGCGTGGTGGCGCACGCCTGCAATCCCAGCACTCGGGAGGCTGAGGCGGGAGGATCGCTGTGAGTTCGAGGCCGGCCTGGGCTACGTAGAAAGTTCAAGGCCAGTCAGAACTGCATAGTGAGACCCTGTCTGAAAAAAAAAGGGGGGGGGCTGAGGAGGCAACCCCTAAGATTCATCCCCAGTACCGAAGGGGTGGTGTGGGAGTAAAAATATTTCCAATTAACGTATATACAAGATACTGTCGTTTCCTTATTAAATTCAAAACTTCACTCTCAAAAAAAAGGCGCAGGACAAAGCCCCGACGCAGACAGACCTCCCGGGGGCGACGCAGCCCACGGCCGCGGGAGGAAGCCCCGCCCAGGGTCCCGGGATCTCGGGGTGACCACAGGCGCGCGCGAAGTGAGACGCACCCAGCGCCGTCCCAGACCCGCGCGCGCTCGGGTGACAGCGACCGGTGGCGGGTGGCGAGGGAGACCCCGGGCTGCGCAGACCCAGCGTGGCCCCGCGCCCGCGCCGGCCCGGCAGAGCTCTTGCGGCCCCTTCCCGCCCGGCGCCCCCTCCCGGCCCGGCCACTCACGTAGATGGAGTCGATGCCAGAACGGTCGTAGAAGCGGAGAGCCTCGCTGAGCTCCAGGGCGGGCGACACCACGTCGTCCCCATCCTCCAGCTCCAGGTCCCCCTGTGAGGGGCCGAAGGGGAAGAGGTCCCGGCGGCTCAGGCAGCCCGCGAGCCCCGCCAGCAGGAGCTGCAGCAGCAGCGCCTGCGCCCGCGCAGCCCCGCTCCGGCCGCG